ATTATATATATATAATATAAATATATTTATTTATTATATAATAAATTTAAAAAAAAACATACATTAAGAAGAATTTTATCATACATCCATACGCAAAACGAAACATCAACGCTTATCTTTTTTTGCTCGCTGAATTTGCTAATATAAGAAAACAAGCATCCATTGTTAATTCCATTAGTAATTTTATTATACATAGATAAAAAGTATTCTGTAAACTGTTATTTTTATTTGCTTCTCTTTTTTGTTGTAAACTATAATAATGGCATCTGCCGGTGCAAGTTCTGAAAGGACTTCGGTACAAGTAGGTCTGTAAGATATGATTATATGATTATAATCAATTCAAAAAAGAAAAATTTTATTAAGATAACTAGTTAGGAAACAAAAAAAGAGTGAAAAAAAAGCTTAAATGTAAAAAAAGTTATGAATGTAAATTTCAAAAAAAGATATGATTCGAAAATAAGACCTTAAATGATCAGCAACAATCGTAATAATGACAATAAGAACAATAATAATATTAGCGAAATAATCTGACTTTGTTGTCCATTATATCATTATATCATTAGCAATAAAATAATTTCGGCATAGCATTAATCTATTTCATATGACTGCATCTATATTTCATCACTAATTACAATTACAATTCTTGCATCAATAGCCTTGCGAATACGACCGTTAACGGATGAAGACCTGGCAACATTACCGACAAGGTTTCAACGACAAGTCTTATCCACATCACCACATACTCCAAACCAGGTTGTTGTAGCTGGAGAAAAGAAACAATTCTTTACTTTTGATCATGTATTTAGTCCTGAAACTTCACAGAATGAGATTTACGAAAGAGCTGTGTTTAAATTGATTGATAAATTTATAGAAGGTATGGATTCCAATGTAATGAAATCTGAGAAATATTTATCAAATATACTCGTAAAAAGAATTTTATTTCTTTTTACTTAGCATTCATTCACATGATATATCCTTAGCATTAATCACATTATATAAATACATAAGCATTTATTTATCTATTTCCTTTAATTCTACACAGGATACAATGTAACAATCTTAGCATATGGTCAAACTTCTTCTGGCAAAACTTATACAATGGGCACATCAGATTCAACTGCAGTCCCTATTGACCAAAAAGGAATAATTCCTCGGGCAATGCAATCCTTATTTGACATTCTAAGTTCCCCACAATATAAATCTCGTAAATTTCAGATTAAAGTTTCTTTTATTGAAATTTATAATGAAGATTTGATTGATCTGCTGGGTGAAGGTGATGAAGAAAGTAGACCTCAAGTTATGATAAGAGAAGATTCTAAAGGGCATATTTTATGGAGTGGATTACAAGAAATTAAAGTCAATTCGGTCGATGAAGTTATGGGGTAATTGGATAATTTTTTGATATCCCTAATTAATGAATTTCAAAATAATATGATTGTAATGATTGTTTAAATATTTCTTTTTTCTTATTTATCAGACATTTGACACGAGGTTCGTTGAATCGTCAAGTTGGTGCTACTGATATGAACCAGAAATCTTCTAGATCACATGCGATATTCTCCGTAACGATGATTCAACATAAAGTATCGACTACTGGAAATGGTAGTAGGTCAAATACACCTGTACCGGAGATACCTGATTCGAAATCTGGAATTAGACCTCCATCACGATCTAGTTCTAGATTGAGTAAAAGATCCGATGATGGTAGTGGTGAATGGATTGCTGTTACTAGTAAATTCCATTTCGTGGATTTGGCTGGTAGTGAGAGAGTACGTATTGTTCATTTAGTGGTTATTGTGGTTATTATGCTTTATATTTATTAATTTAATTCACTAATTACAATTATGTATTTAGCTAAAAAGAACCGGTACTGTTGGGGATCGTGCTAAAGAAGGAATATCTATAAATTCTGGTCTTTTAGCATTAGAGAACGTTATCTCTGCTCTCGGTGACCCTAACAAGGCTAAACATACAACACATATTCCGTACCGAGATTCAAAACTAACACGCTTATTACAGGATTCTCTTGGTGGAAATGCTCAAACATTAATGATTGCTTGTGTTTCAGGGGCGGAATTCAATCTTAATGAAACTGTTAATACTCTTAAATATGCAAACAGAGCTCGTAATATTAAAAATTCGGCTGTTATAAATCAAGAAGAGGCTGGTTGGAATGATCTAGAACATTTACAAAGTTTAGTTATTAAATTAAGAAATGAAATCAAAGCTCTCAAAGCTGCTGGTGCTTTGGTTTCCACAGGTGGTGCAACTTCGGTAAATGGAAGTTATGGTGGTAATAGTACGTCTGGATCTGGAAGATCTACTCCTTTGGGCTTAATAAGCGGACGAGAAACTCCAATTCATCAAAGCCATCTACGGCGTCCTTCAACTCCACTTTCAATAAATATGGCTGTGGGTAATGCTAACCCAAACCATAAAGACGTTGAAGTACTTGAAGAGCAACTTTCTCAACTTCAACGATCATACATAGAATTATCTCAGAAATATGCAAAAACTTCAGCTGAACTTGCCTTACATCAAGATAATTCGGATGAGCTTGGCGCAAAAACAATATCTGATAGGGTACAGCAAAATGGAACTAAATCAAAATCATCAATGAAACCTATAAAGGAAGAAAATATTTCGCAAAGTTTTCAGGAAGCCGTCGAACCTGTGATCGAAGAATACGAGAAATCAATATCCGCACTTGAAAGTCAACTTGCACTTACACGTGCTGCATTGGCGCATTCTGAAAATACAATGCAAGAACAAGAACAAAAATTAAATTATGCTGAACAAGCTAACGAGCAAAGTAAATCTTTAATAAATGATTTAAGAAACAAAGTCGCTAGATTTAGTGAACGTGAATCCACTACCGAACATTATATTAAAGATTTAGAATCTAAACTTGAGGCTCAATCTATGGAACAACAGAAAGATCAAGATTTAATAAATGAACTAAGGAATAAAATCTCTCAATTGAAATCAAATGGTGATAGTACTGAAGGTTATATTCAAAGCTTAGAATCTCGATTAGCTACAAGTGAAGAACAATTAAACAAATTTCGTCAAAATGTTGCAAACCTCGAAAGACGTCTCCAGGATCGTGAAGCTGCTTATCAAGATCTAGAGAACCGTATGAGACTTGTGGAAGTTGATGATAAAAAATTACTGCTGGATGAAATTGATGATCGTGATAAAAGAATCACTCAACTTGAACAAAAAGTTGATTTGCTCATGAAAGAGTTAGATAGATTACGAGAATTTTCTAATTCTTCATTTTCTAATTCTTTAATTGATGAAACCGATGGCCATGAACGTTCTACTTCTGAATTATCTACAACTTTGTCATCATCACGATCCATTACACCTCAATTAACTAGTGAGCAAGAGCGAATGACCGTTGTATTGGAAGCAAAACTTTCTGAATTACAGAAAACTCACGACAATACCGTAAAAGAGTTTAATGAAATGAAGGATAAATACCAAGCAAGTGTTGTCGAAATGGATGACCTTCGTTCACAATTAGCAGAAGCCAAAGTGGTTTATTCAGAAAGAGAAGATAACTTTAAATCAACTCCTTCAACACCGATTACACCAATGTCACCTACTAGCAATTCTTTTAGATTTTCACTTCCACAATCGGCACGTTCTAATGAATTAAGTAAAGAAACTCTTCATAAATCACTCGATGTTGCTAAACGTGCTTATCACAGAAAGGCTAAATCGCTTTCAGAAATAAAAAGTACCGAAAAACGTGATCTGGTCCATCAGGTTATTATGCAAAAACTAAACACTGAACTTAAACAGCTTTCTTCACTTCATGATGATAAAGATCAAGGTTTAGGTACTATTAAACAAGAATTTGCTCGTTTGGAAATGTGTTATCGTGAAACTCTTGAACTTGTTGAAGAGTTGCGCGAAGAGATCAAGAGACGTGACGCGTTGGCTCAACTAGAAGTTATGTCCGTAGTAACATCAGATCACACTTATACTGAAGGTTATTCTCCTTCTATGAGTGATGTTGATAAACTTGATATTGTCCAACGACTTCGTGAAGAAGTTGAACAACTTAAGGAAGAACAGAAGTTAGAAATGGAATTTCTCTCGAAATATAAAAAGGACAAAGAAAATACTAACGAAGTTTCAAAAATTGAATCAAACATTCGTGATCTCCGTGAAGAATTACAAAGTGTTCAAGATTCTAAAGTCGATGGTCAAAATAATGATTCACGTGTCGTTGAATTAGAATTGCGTATTAAAGAACTGGAAAAACAATTAGCCGATGCTCAAGGAACCCAACAGGAAAAAATTGTAGAGACAGTTAAATCTCCTGATGATTCAATACCAGAAGAAAATGCCAATGCCTCAAAATCAGAAAATGAAAAAGACGAATTATTGGCACACCAACAACATATTGAGAAACTTCAAGTTGAAATTGAATCAAAAAGTCACACCATTGCAGCACTCTTACTTGAATATGAAAATATCATTAAATTAAGAACGGAATTAGCATTGGCCAAAGAAGCTGAATTTGTTAATAATCGGACCATAAAGGATCTTGAATCTAAATTAAATAATTCCGTATCTGAAGCTGATTCTTCAGAGGACACTGATTCACTAACTGCTTTAAAGGACGAACTTTCAGAAGCCAAAGCAACTGATTCGTATCTTCGTAAAACTGTTCAAGAGTTAGAGACTAAACTTTCAACGGCAGAAAAACAATCAACTGGCTTACAATCATTAAAAGACGAAATTACATTGTTAAAAAATTCAGAAGCCGAACAAAAATCCATAATTGAACAATTGCAAGTACAAATCCAAGAAATGCAAGAATCTAAAGAGGAGGCTGTTAAAGAGTTGCAAAACTTTAAAGGTGATTTCGAAGCTCAAAAGGAGTACATAGTTAATCTTGAGACTGAAATAAAAGCTTTGAAAGAGGAATTGTTAAAAGCCCTTGCAGAAAAAGAAGATCTTCTTTCTACAAAAAATGATAGTCTTGCAGAATCAGAAGCTACCATTCAAAAAATTAAACAAGAACTTGAGGATACCAAATCGAATAAAAAGATCAACGATGAACTTATTATGGAACTCGAGAATAAGCTTGAAACTGCTGAAAAACAATCAGAACTTTTAAAAGAATTACAATCAGAACTTGAACAAGCGAAAGCTCACATAAATAAACAAGAAGAGCTTATTAAAACTTTGGAATCTAAACTCCAACATGCTCAAAGTCAAAGAGATGACACGATCTCTAAACTTGAGGCGGCAAATGAAGAAATTAAAAGACTCGAGGATCAATGTTCACGACTACAAAATGAAATTAGCGAAGTGCGCAAAGAATCACAAAATATTAGTGCTGTTGACAATAAAATGGTAGAAGACCTTACCGACCAATTAAAGAAAATTCAAACCGAATCATCGGTTTATAAAGAACGTGCCCAAGAACTTGAAAATACAACACAACGACTTCGATCAAGTAACGATGAGTATCGTGAAATAAACAATGAACTTAATAGCCAAATTGAACGATTACAGAGAGAGCTTGAAACCCTTGCAGAAGAATTTGCCGAAGCTGGTATCAAGTTTGAGGATTCTGAAGCTATATTGCAAGAACAAAAAAATCGTATTGCTTATTTGGAAGAAACCCTAGAAACAGCTGACAATAATCCTTCTTCTGGCCTTGCGCAATTGGCTGCCGAAAATAAGATTTTAAGGCACACAAATGATAATTTAAACATAAAGATTTCTGAAGCGGAGAATCAAATATTATCATTGAACGAGAGGATAACGACTTTACAGCGTGAACTTGAGAACGCCAAGTCTCAGAATAAAAATGATCAAAATATAGAATCCGCCGAGACGTTAAAAGAAAAGATTCATGAGCTTGAAATGGAAAAACAAGCATTGGAACAAGCGAACACAACATTTTTGGAAGATCGTAAAAAACTTGATCAAAAGATAGAATCTTTAACACAACAACTTTTATCAGCGGGTAAAAGTGGAAATAAGACCGCAGCTCAACTCGCTGATCTTAACGGAAAGATTTCAACTTTGGAAAATGAAATAGGGCAAGTGAGACAAAAATCACGAGAAGAAATTTCAGTAATGGAAAAGGAAATGATGCGACTATTAGAAATCAATGAACAATTGATGCAAGGAAAAAGTGATGCAGCATTACGATCACCCAAATCTCAAAGTGATGACAGTTTCTCTAGAAATCGAGCAGATTCGTTGGATTCAGGATATGTATCTGGAAGCATGCGCGTAACAAGCAATACAGATAGTGTCCTTCAAAATAAATTTTTACAACAAGAAAATACTATCTCTCAGCAAAATAATCTTATCAAGTCTCTTCAAGACAAAATAGAAGAACTTGAACGACGATCACTCACTCTTGGAAGGCCTGTCTCTGCAGAGCTTGATGCTGTAGGAGGGTCAACAATGCCTTCGGATTCTAAAAAGAATTCGATACGATATTCGGATCTCAAAACTCCACCAACCCCTCCACCAACTCAACCATTACCGCCACCACCAAATGGTCATCCAGCGCCTCCTCGGTCCTCGCTTCCTCCTCGAGAATCTCAAGATCTAACACTGGAAATTCAAAGACTTAATAAGAAAATCGCGGCTATTGAAGGAGACAATCTTCAAAATTGTCAACTCGTCGAAACTCTTGAAGAATCCCTTAATGATGCAGAAAAACATCTTCAAATTGCTAAGCAAGAATTGCAAGTACTACAACATGAAAAAGTAGAACTTGTAAATCAAGTAAAGAATCTGAAAAATCAATTAGAAGATGCAACAATACACTTTGAAAAAACAAGATCGACTGTTCAACAAGAAAAGAAAGCTATCGAGTCAGTATTGGAAGAAGAAAGACGTGCAAAGGAATCTGCAGAAAGAGCTAGGCGGCAACTAGAAAATCAAATGGAACAGCTTATATCAAAGAGAAGCAAGTTCATGTGTTTCTAAAGAATTTGATTATTGATACAATTAATACAATTGATACATTTTGTTAAATAATCCAGGTCTTTACATATTATATTAGTCTTTTTATTAACTTATTTTATTTATTGATTTAGTTTATTCTTTCTATCCAACCAAAATCATCACCCTCTTTATAAATTTAATGTTTCCATTACGACTACATATATACACATTTACACTTCACTATACATAATCATATATATCATTCATTTTTGTATTATTAGTTTTTTTTCGGTTTACTTTCTTTTTAAAAAAAAGGGCCTCTGAGAGGTTTTTTTGATTTAAAAATATTGCGATTTAAGTGTATGATTACTAATAAACATTCGCAAACTACAATGTTAAAATATTGTTAAGTGAACTTTTCACCTCTACATACAATATTATGTTCAAATAGACAATAAGCGTCAAGTCATTTCTTAAATTTCGAGATAGGTTTGGTGTTAAATCGAGTTCAGGTCCGGTCCGATACTTGTATCTGATAAGACCTTCCTGAACTTATTGCGTAAAACTGTTATTTCATTTGTCCCAATATTGAATCGTTTGAATAAACCATCCAATGAAAGCAGATCCTAAAATTTACGTCCAAAATCGAAGTCCCATAACTACCACTGACCTGCAAACGTTTAACTTTATCGTATGCACTAACCCTAACTTAAACAAACTTAAAGATTATTTTGTGCGATTTTTTACTGTCACGTGACATTGGAATTTTGGTGGCACTAGGGCAGTGTTAGGAAATTGGGCTCCACATTTAGTTTTGGACATATGTCCAATTCAAATTTAAATTTAATTTATATACAGTATATATAATATGGCCAAATTATTAATTTAACATAGTTAATTTAATATATATGGTCCACTATAATATTTGATTCACCGAT